GTGAGTGCATGTGCCCTGTAGCAAACCCTCACACACAAAAAAAATAGCAATTAAGGTCACAACCAGACCAACATGAGAAGGTCCCCAGTTTACACCCCAGGGCCTCTCTGCAAGACAGGGTGCTAGCATGTGCCTGAGATCCAGGCTGGGTGGAGTTGGGGGCGCCTTTCTCTGTTTCTCAAGCTAAAAATGAATTTTTAAAAAATCACCTTGCTTTTAAAAATATGTACAAATTGGGACCAGCAGGTGGCATGGTGGTTAAGGCACTGGACACTCCCACATGGCTGACCCCGGTTCAAGTCCCAGATCTGGTGGCTTCTTTTCTCACTTTCCCTCTTTCTCTCTCTCTGGTCAAAGTAAAATAAATGAAGGAATAAAATTTTTAAAAATTAAAATAAATATATTTTTTAAATGTACAAATGGGGGCCAGCAGGTGGTGTGGTGGTTAAGGCTGGACTCCCACATGGCCAACTATGGTTCAAGTCCTGGACCCAGCAGCTTGCTTTCTCTCTCTTTCTCTGTCTCTCTTTCTCCTCCCCCCACTGCTAAAATAAATAAAACGTTTAAAAATGTAGGATGAAATGAAAGCCATACACCCTCTCCCACCTGCTCCCTCTGCAGGCCCACTCGCTTCTGGTTTACCCCAAGCATTCTCACAGCAAGGCTTAGCCAAATAAAAACAAGATTTTTTTAAAAAGCTGTTTTGTAAACAATCATCCTTAGGCACTGGAGAGGAAATAAAAGGAGGCATCAAAAATCTATACAGAGAAGTAAATTAAAAACATCAGTGGAATTACTACATTAAATCAGAAAATTGGTGTTTTTGTCAACGAAAAAGCTTTTTCCACAAACGGCCACAGCGAGGCATCTGTACCCGAGTGCTGTTCCTCCCGGCCTGCCGGGGGTCAGGTCTGACGAGAGCAGCCCTTGAACGAGGGCTATGACAGCTACCTCACCAGCGCTCCTTCCAGGCCAGACACCAAGTACTTTACACGTATCCAAGCATGAGAATGTACAACCTGGGCAGGCCGCGGTGCGGCGGTTACGGGAGCTGGATCCCACACAGCCAACTGCAGTCTGAGTCCCGGACCCGGCAGCGTGAAAACCACACTGGGCACGTGTGCAAACATGACCAAAACCCCAAAGGAGGGAGAAATGGAGGAAAAGGGACTGAAGCATGACCATGCGTGTGGGGGAAAGTGCTTTCTTACTTTCCCTCTCTTTCAGGAAGGTGCACATGCCCTCTGGCAAATTAAAAAAATAAATAAAATGACAACCCATTCTCACCAGCTGATGAAACTGAGGCATAAAGAGGTCAGATACACCGCTCTAAGTTACCAAGCACTACAAAGCCTGTCCCTTCTCAGCTACAAGGACGAAGCTCAAGTCTGTTTGTTTTCTTTGCAGTTAGGTGTGCTGCTGTAGCCGGTGAACACAAGCAGGAGCACTGGGGGCGCCTTCGCCGAGCTGGCCCCTACAAGCCGCACCGGCAACCCTCATGCACCTCCTTGCCTACTGGCCCTAGGAGGGCGAGGAGCGCGGCCTTGGACGGCTCGTGGTGAAGACCGCAAGGCCACAGGACCCGAGAGTCTGGACTCTGCAGTCTCTTAGAGGAAGCCACCTGCTCATCGGAAATGCTCGTTTCAGACTCTGCATAAGGGAAAAGCCAACATCCGGTGTGTGAGAGCCCTTGTTTAGTTTGGAGTTCGTGGTCAAACAATTTGTTGCCTTTTTATGAATTAAAAAATTAGGCCTTGAAGTGGGTCCTGCCCCAACAAAACACACTGGCTTAGGGGGCAAGAAAACTGGTGTTCGAAGCTGAAGGCCTGGAAAGTTGCGACACGCGGTGACCAATCTCTTGGCCAAGCTGTTCCTGGTGTCAACAGAAATAGCCCACCTCTGCAGAAGGGTTTAAAACGGCTTCTTCTAAGCACGAACATGAGCGCCTGGGCCCAGAGACAGACTCCGCGTAGCTCAGGTGTGTCGGAGAGGCGGATGCAGCAGCTCTCTCGCCCAGTTCTGAGAGCAGGAGGTACAAACTAAACTGTACATCAGCACGTGGAGGGGGCCAGCAGATAGTGGTTAAGGTGCTGGACTCCCGTGTAGTCGACCATAGTTCAAGTCCCAGACTCAGCATCTTAAAACTCATGCTGGACCCATGTGCATGTGTGCCCAAAATCTCAAGGGGATGGAGAAGAGATTGCAGCATGGCCATCCTCCAGGGGGTGATGTGTTTTCTGTCTCTGTAGAGCACACGCACCCTATAGCAAAAATCTAAGGGAGAAAAAAAAGTCAACGCTTAGAGCCTTTATTACATTGGCCTTGTCCAAAAAGGCAGAACATGGGAAGCAGACGTTTACAGGTTACGGGGGACTTAGGAAGTTTTTTAGAGTTTTTTGTTGTCATTGTTGTTTTTGCTATATGGCACGTGCGCTCACCGAAGATGGAAAGACAGAAAGTGAAAAATCATTCCCAAGGAGGGACGGCCATGCCACAGTCCCTTCTCCTCCATTCTCCTCTTGGGATCTTGAGTACCCATGCAAACGGGCCCAGCATGAGTTTTAAGCTTCCGGGTCAAGGATTCAAACCCTGGCTGACTACGTGGGAGTCCAGCAAAGGAACCATTACACCATCTGCTGGTCCCTAGAAATTGTTAGTAATTGGTTTAAAGCACAAATCTTTGTCTCTAAAAGACTCAGAGATAAGGCTTTAACATGCACTACCTGATGCCATGGCAGCGTCAGGCACCTGCTCGACAGCGGCCCACAATCTCTGGATCAGCGCTGACTGTTACGGCAAGATTCATGGGTGCAGGTGACTCCCCCAGGCCCCTGGAAAGAATCCTGAAATAGGAATAGCAGCCAGAACTCTGCTCTCACTGCGGTAATGTGAAAGACAAGAGCCAACCTTAGCTCAAGATCGGTCGGAAAGAATCACTGATAACGAGTGTTGGCTTTTATCTTCTGGCTTTAGCAAAACGTCTCTGAGAAGTGGGGAGTTCAGGAATCAGTCAACCTGGGGTCAGCAGGTGGCGTGGTGGTTGAGGTCACTGGACTCCTGCATGGCCGACCACGGTTCTGGACCTGGCGGCTTGCTTTCTCCTTTTCTCTCTCTCGCTCTGTCCCTCTCTAGTCGAATTTAAAAAATAAATAAAGTTCAATAAATTCTTTTAAAAAAGGAATTAGTCAACCTGTAAGCAGAAGTGAAAAAAATAGAGTTCAAAAATATGGGGCTTCAAAAGTTGGAAAACCTGGTCCGGCCCAGTAGCGCAGCAACTAAGTACTGTGCAGACGATGCCGGGTCCCACACAGTTTGAACCAAGGTTCAAATCCCAGCCCCATTTGCCATCAGGTGCCCTGTGCCCAGGATCCTGAGGTGACGAAGAAATGGAGGAAGAACTGTGGTGGCATGGGTCAGCTGGTGGCATGGAGGTTATGGCAACTGGATCTTACATAGCTAACTGTGGGGTTCAAGTCCAAGACCCCGAAGCTTGAAAAACAAGCCAGGCATGTGTGTGCATGCCCCAAATGCCTAGGGAATAGAAGAGAAGGGATTGCAGCATGCCATCTTCCCTCTAGAATCCTTTCTCATTCCCCCATCACCCTGACTCTAACTGAGTGCACACGCGCTACAGCAAAAAAAACAGAAGAGGTCACCAAATGGCACAGTGGTAAAGGGCTAGACTCCCATGTGGCTGACTGTAGTTCTAGTACCAGACCCAGTGGCTTGAAACATGCTGGGCACAAGTGCACACATGCCACAAATTCCAAGATAATGGAGAAGGGATTGGAGTGTGGCCATCCCTGCAGGGGTGACTTCTTGCTGTTTCTGTCTCTCTCACCAGTGAGCACACACATCCTATAGCAAAAAAAAAAAAAAAACTCTTAAAAAAAATAAATAAAAAGCAGCAGTGTAGTGACCAGCAGTTAGCGTAATGGCTATGTCGCTGGACTCCCATGTAGTCGACCGCAGTTTGCGTCCCGGACCCGGTGGCTTAAAACTCACGCCAGGCGCGTGTGCGTGCGTGCCCAAGATCCTAAGACGATAATGGAGGAGAAGGGATTGCGGCGTGGCCATTCCCCCTGGAGGGTGATTTCTCGCTTTCTGTCTCTCTGTCTCTCTCTGTCTGGCTGGCGAGTGCATGCACCCTATAGCAAAAAAACCTCTCCACAAAAAATAAAAAGCAGCAATGTAACCAGACCTCATTATAAGCTGTGTTCTCTCTCTCTTGCATATGCCCTGTGGCATGTTTTTAAATAAAAGGCTGGAAAACCTGCCTGCCTCTAAATCCCAAACTGCAAGAGAAGACAACAAAGGCTTTGTGCCACAAAGGCTTAGGCTCCGTGGCGAGCGGAGATTAAATGTGAGCCCAGGCTTTCCCCTGAAGGTGGCTGACAGGGTGAGGACGCAGAGGCGGGCTGGTACTGAGGGTTATGTATGGCAAGAAACTTTAGAAGAGGATGCTGGTGGGGCCAGCCGGGGGTAAGGAGGTTAGGGCGCTGCATCCAGCATGACTTGGAAATCGCACTGGGCGTGTGTGCACAATGTCCAGGACCCCAAGAGAATGGAGAAGAAACTGGCATAGCCATCCCCACTTGGGGGTGATTTCTCAGTTTCCCTCTTTCTGGCAAGGGCATGTTCTCTTTAACAACAACAAAATTATTTCATGAAAGGGACGCAGGCACCACAATCGCCCCAGCCTTACGAGAATTATGGGTGTTACCTGGCCTGTTTCAAACTGAGGACCCGAACCCTGGTCTTCTGTGTGGTTCCAGCATTGTGAGGCCGCATACTACTGCTTGTGCTGCTGTGGCTGGGCTACCTTCTGGGTTTTAAGCATAAAATTTCCCCGACCTACGATCTATCGTTGCTTTCACATAGAAAGGCAGTAAAACCAACAGAGCACGATGGGATCGCTGTTTTGACCCACATACATAATAACACGGTCCTCTTTTGATGGCTGATAGATCTTTTTACAGTCAAAAAACGTTACGCACACGGTAGGAGGAAAATAAATGTTTCTTTAATGAATAATTAAGTGACAGTTCTGCAGGGCCTTATAGGATTTCCTGTGTGTACTAGGTTCGATGTGTATCTTAGAAGCCAGGATGTAAGCTTGCTGGGATCATCAGGGCACGACTGAAAATGAGAAACAGTGATTTATAAAACATTTACCTTAGAGCTTTCCCAAACAGTAATTCCCTTGAAATAAAATAGAAATAAAATGTGTATTTCTACCTAGTTTTGGCTATGACTCATAACACACACTGAAATTAATTTTATGGTTTGATGTTAGTTTTTTAAAGGGACTCTGAAGAGGGCTCAGCCCACGCTATGGTAGTTGGGGCGGCGGGATCTCAGTGGCTTGAGAAACCCTGAGGGGAGACTGGAAGAGACGGGACCGCAGCATGGCCATCCCCTGGGGGTGCTGCCGCACTTTCTCTCTGTGACTCCCTCTGGAAAGTGTACGTGCCTTGTAGCAAATTTAAAAAATAAAAAGGAGGAAAAAAAAGGTGCTCAAAGGAAATTCAAATATCACTTTCAGACCACGAAGTAGAGGTGTGTGAAAAAGTTGTGATTTTATAACATCAAAGTCTAAATATTACATAAGAGTCTGAGGCTCAGATACTATTTCAAAGGCAGTGTTCCCTTTCCTCCAGCACTAATTTTCCTCCAGCACTAATTGCACACACAGTTTTGAAGCACAGCCACGTCAGAGCCACAGCTGATCCGGTCCCAAACATCCTTCTTGGATTTTCCTTCCTTGAAGGAAGAAATGGCAATTTTACTTCTATTCCTTTTTTATTATGTAACAGAGGCTTACGTCATATTAGTTTCCTTTTCCACTGGATGGTTAAAATTATTGTTCTAGTCTCTCAACCTCGCCAGTGAGGAGAGACAAACTCGGTGAAGGACAATGTGCTTCCTCATTCTTGTCAACAGAAAGTCAAGCAAAAATAGAGCCCCACAGAAATTTCAAGAGTGAATTTTTTTTTATATTGTAAAGCTTAGTAGAAGTCAAAAGCCCGTGGATAAGTCGGTAGTCTCTGCAAATCTTTGCTGGTTACATTTAAACCACCATCTGGCAGACCATTCGTATCGAAAAGGCCCCGCTTTCCTGGCTGGCCTGGGCCGGGTCAGTGCCTCACTGTGGAGGCAGGTAGTAATCACAAGGCTCCCACTTGCACGCTCTGAAAGTCATCTCACTGTGGTACCCAAGGATGTCAACTGCCATTGCCCAAGTTCTTTCAAGTCACAAGTATTGACAAAGACACACACAGGTATCAACAGTCTCATCATGAACACTGCTGACCATTCAACAAGCCTAAATATTTTTCTAACTGAATTCTAAAAGCAATATGCCCTCAACTGAATATATATATATATATATATATATTAAGAATTATCTATTTAATTTATTTGTTGTTATTATTATCTTTTACTTTGACCAGAGAGAGAAAGGGAAAGTGAGAAAGCAAGCTGTCAGCTGAGAAATTCAAACCGTGTTCAGCCAAGTGGGAATCCAGCGCCTTAACCATCACGCCACCTGCTGGCCCAAATTTAATGTATTTTTAAACTTTAGTCTTCAATATTAAAAGTGCTAAGATATCCCATTTTCCTCTAAAAAAGAAAATTAAGTTGGGGAAAAAGTAAAAATAAAAAATATAAACATTACTATATAAGTTTAAGAAAAAAAAAACCTATATGAAGAAAAATATTCAGGCCAGGAGTGACATGGTGGGTAGGGCAAGTGGATCCCACATGGGTGACTGCGAGGTCTGAGTCCCACATCCGGCAGCCTGGGAGAGATGTCAGGCATGTGTGCACGATGCCCAAGTCCACAGAGGAGAATGGAGAAGGGACTGTGACAGTGACCACTCCCCTAGAAGATGCCTTCTCACTCTTCCTCTCTCTCAGTCTCCAGCGAGCACACACACCCAGTAACAAAAATTCTAAAAAGTGAAATATTCCAAGAGGAGGTAAAACCACAGGGCTGCTCACCACAGCATCACTTGTAATAAGCAGCATTTATAAGCAAACAAGGCATAACAGGCCAGCTGGTGGCATAGAGGGTAAGGCGGTTGGATCCCACATGGCTGACCCCACAGTTTGAGTCCTGGACCTGGTGGCCTGAAAAACACAGGAGGCCAAAATCCTTAAAGGCTTGAGAAAGCAATTAGTGAGAGCTTACCCCACAGGGGGAGGTGGTGTTTTCTCACTTTACCTCTCTCTCTAACAAGCACACGTGCTCTCCAGCAAAAAAAAAAAAAAGAAGTATCAGTAACAGACCGTAAAGTAAATGAGGAAATGTCTAATTGATAAGATATGCTATAGCCACTGGTGATAATTAGAAAGACGATGAAACGTGAGGGAATGCATGAGTATGTTAAACCGAACACAGGAAGGAGCCCGCCATACTTAAACGGTAGCCAGTCCTACTTGGGAAACTCCACAGGAACGGAGCCTGACAGGCTATGTCTGTGTCACAGGTAGAGATTTTGCTTTATTGAAAAAACAACACAAAGCTTCTCGAGTGGTCGTGCATTTTTTTATGAGAAAACATCAAAAGGACAGAATAAATTAAAATATGTCTTTGGAAATAAATGTTGCTGTGGGAGGCACGCCACTGACCTTGTCCAGAATCAGTGTGCCTCGACCTGGGGAGAAGTATGCGGCCCAGGGCCCAGTTCTGCTGAGGGAGGCCTGGCAGCAGGACCCAAAGAGAGGCCAGTGCCCACCGGGGTGAGCCGAGACCTCGGCCCCATCGCCGACTTTCCCAGCGAGACCCTCGTCTGTCCACTTCGAGCACATTTGTGTGTGTGAGGACACAATCCTACATCACAGTCTTTATGGTTAGGCTTACAGAAAAATGTGGATGCACAAACATCTCCTTATAATAAAGCAGTTTGCAATTAGCAGTCAACTTAAGGGTTCCTTAAATGACAGAACTGTCCGTGTTAACCCCTGTAACACGTGACCTTAAATAAAAGCCATCAGGTGACAGATATTTCCACTACACAGGATCACCTACCACAGAGCTATTTCATCAGAACACTAAGTATTTTCCTTCAGAAATTCCAGCATTTTACCATTAAAGAACTTGTGTGAAGATTAGATTTCTCTATACTGCAACAGAACAAGATTATAAAGGCTTCCCTAAAGGTCCCAAAGTACAGGAACAGAATGCTTTTATGGTTTTATAATGACGATTATAACCTAGCTATTTTAGCTTTCTGAAGAAAATGTTCTCAAGAGTAACTCACACAAAGCATTTACTATTTTCAAACAGTTGCCAACAGTAAAATTTTCAAATAATTATTCTTAATGTTAAATTACAATGATCAAATGTGTAAATGAATAACACCAAGAAATGCTACAACAGTGTGAAATATCACAGCACTCTGAACTACTGCAAAAAAGATTTAAAGGGCTTAACATACTCAGTACAAGGATGATTCACTTTTTGCAAGCCATGTATCTTTCAGTTACATTCTCCCAGTTGATCACATTCCAAATAGCTTTCAGATAATCAGGTCTGACATTCTTATACTGAAGGTAGTAAGCATGCTCCCACACGTCAATTCCCAGCAGCGGGACAAGGCCTATGAAAAAGGAGGGAAAAAAGCAAAAACTATAAACATTGTATCTTCTCAATTTAAACTTATTTTCCTATGTACACAAACTTACCCTTTACCACAAGCTCATCCACTTGTATCTCTTACACAAACAGGAAATCTGTCTAAGAATGATTACTATAAAAAATGTTTAGGGGGACCAACAGTTAACATAATGGCTATGTCGCTGAGCTCCCATGTAGCTGACTGCAGTTCAAGTCCCGGACCCAGTTGCTTAAACTCACAACGGGCGTGTGTGTGTGTGTGCCCAAGATCCCGAAAGGAGAATGAAGGAGAAGGGATTGCGGTGTGGCCATCCCCCCAGGGAGTGAGTTTTCGCTTTCTGTCTCTCTATCTCTCTCTGTCTTTCTGGCGAGCGCACGCATCCTATAGCAAAAACCTCTCAAAAAAAAAAAAATGTTTAGGGCCGGCAGGTGGTATGGTGATTAAGGGCGCTGGACTCCTATATGGCTAACCATGGTTGGACCCAGACCTGGTGGCTTGCTTTCTCACTTTCTCTCTCTCTCTTTCTCTCTCTCTCTCACTCTGTCCCTCTCTGGTCAAATTAAAATAAATAAAGTTAAACAAAATATTTTTTAAAGAATTATTTTGTTTAACTTTATTATTATTATTATTATTATTATTATTTAGTATCTCCAAGACAGACAGAGAGAGAAAAAGGGAAAGTGAGAAAGCATGCCTCCAGGTCTGGGACTCGAACCATGGTCAGCCATGTGGGAGTCCAGCATGCCTAATCACCATGCCACCTGCCAACCCCAATAAAATAATTCTTTAAAAAAAATGAAGTTTAAACTTTACTCTGAAAAAAGTAAGTGATAATGGTAAAAATGAACTAAAATGGACTGGGAAGTCAATTAACTACTGTACTTTAACAGTTCCTAAAAAGACAACAGATTCCGGGCCAGCACGTGGTGTGGTGGCTGAGGCGCTGCACCCCCACATGGCAAATCAAGTCCCAGACTTAGCAGCTTGCTTTCTCACTTTTCCTCTCTCTGTCTCTCTCTGGTAAAATTAAAAAATAATAATAATTGGGGCCAGCAGGTGACATGGTGGTTAAGGTCCTGGACCCTCCCACATGACTGACTGCAGTTCAAGTCCTGGACCGAGTGGCTTTCTTCTCACTTTCCCTCTCTCTATATCTCTCGCTGGTCAAATTAAAAAATGAATGAATGAATACATAAAATTAAAATAAACAATTCTTTAAGGAAAATATGATAATAAATAGAATAAATAAATTTTTTTTAAAAAGCCAACAGTTTCGTCCACGAGCAAACTCCCAGCCCTCCTCCCAGGGTCCATGTCACACTCCGTTCCAGGGTGGCTGAGGCCCTCCCAGGTCTCTTCCAAAGGCCTGTGCACTCACAGGGGTTTGTGAGAAACACACTCTGCTCTCCAAGGCTCATTTCAGTCTTAGAGAACAGACAGCGTTTATGAGACACTAATAGAAATAATACGTTAACACGTTAACGGGGACCCGCTGATGGAGTAATGGTTACATCACTGGACTCCCACATGGTCGATTACAGTTAAGAGTCCCGGACACAGTGGTTTAAACCTCACGCCGGGCACATGTGTGTGCGTGCCCAAAATCTCGAGAGAATTGAGAAGAAGGGATTGCAGCGTGGTCATGCCCCCTCGGGGGTGATTTCTTGCTTTCTGACTCTCTGTCTCTCTCTGTCTCTCCAGTGAGCACACGCACCCTATAGCAAAAATCACTCCAAAAAATAAGTAAATAAAAGAATATGTTAACAAGGCAAACTGAGCAGGACTAAACAAAAAGACACCATGTTTTTAGTAACTAGTGAAACTGAAGAACTTCATTCTATCTATAAACAAACATTTATTTAGGGGGCTGGCAGGTGGCATGGTGGTTAAGGGCACTGGACTCCCACATGGCCAACCACAGTTCGAGTCCTAGACCTGGCAGCCTGCTTTCTCGCTTTCTCTCTCTCTCTCTCTCTCTCTCTCTCTCTCTCTCTCTCTCTCTGTCTCTCTCTGGTCAAGTTAAAATAAATAAGTAAAGTTAAATAAAATAATTCTTTAAATAAATAAATATTTATTTTATAAAAACTCTCAAACTAAAAGATAACTCTCCTCTATGAGAACAATTCTCAACTGGTATGTCTTGATCAGTTGTGAGATCACTAATATGAGGAATAATTACTGTAGCAAAATCTGTGAACCATGTTTCCTGTAAATAAAAAACCACGCCTTAAATTCACTGCAACAGGCTTTTTTCAAGTGGGAGGAAAGGCATAGATCTGCCACCCACAGGGAAATCGCAGCCTTTGGCCAGGTGCCTTTCTAGGTGCGCCTGACTCCTTCCCTGACTCCTTTCCTGGCTCCTGCGAATACCTGGGCACCTCACTTCCCCAAAGGCACTATTCACCTCCTGACAACACTGAGCGTGATCAGGGAGTGAGTCATGCACGCAGGAGTCTCCTGACGTGTGCAAAGGCAGGAAGTGTAGCAGAGAATGGCTGCCGACTGCCCGATGTCAGGGGATGGCTTTCAAGTTCTCTACCTCAGAGATAAACATCCCAGCTAACTGCCAGATGGCCTATGACTCTCCGGTGACATTTTATACAGGATTCTAATTCAATTAGACTCCAAGGGGAAAAAAAAGATTTGGTGAGCCCAGCCCGGAGCTTCCAAACCAAGTACTTTCACATACTGAAGATTCCTGGAAAAGACTCTAAAAACTTAATTCTATTAAGCCCAAGTCCTCAGCAGAGCAGGGAACTACAAATTCAGAAGTCAGGCTCAGGGGACCAGCAGTTGGTGTAATGGCTATGTCACTGGACTCCCACATAATCGACCACATTTCGAGTTCCAGACCTGATGGCTTAAACTCACGCCAGGCGCGTGTGTGTGAATGCTCAAGATCCCAAGAGGAGAATGGAGGAGAAGGGATTGCAGCGTGACCATCCCCCCTTAAGGGGTGATTTCTCACTTTCTGTCTCTCTGGCTTTCTCTTTCCGGCAAGCACACACACACCCTATAAAAAAACCACTCAAAAAAAAAGCAGGCTAAGCTTCTAGTTGTTTCTCACTCATTATTTATCTAAAGGTTTTATTCTAGTGGTATCTTTTTTATTTAAGAATTATTTTATTTAACTTTCTTTCATTTTTATTTTATTTTAATCACCAGAGAGGGACAGAGTAAGAGAGAGAGGTAAAGTGAGAAAGCAAGCCGCCAGGTCTGAGACTCAAACCACGATCGCCCAGGTGGGAGCCCAGCACCCTCAACCATTACGCCACCTGCTGGCCCATATAGTGGTGTAACTCTTTAAGCTGACACTAATTCTCTACACGATGATGATGATGATGATGACGCAGGGCTTGTGATTAAAATGCTTTTGTTGGGGCCAGCAGGTGGCATGGTGGTTAAGGTGCTGGATTCCCACAGGGCCTACCATGGCTTGAGTCCCAGACCCTGTGGTTTGAAAACCACAACAAATAAATAAATTAATGCTTCAAAATAAATAAATAATGTCTTTAGTAACATAGCTATAAAATTATATGTGCTTATTTTACAAAATGTCAAGGACTTACAAAGCATTTTTACTTACATAAGACTCTGGGTATTATCGTTTAAAAGAGTTGCATGGCTATGTCACTGGATTCCCGCGTAGTCGACCGCGGTTCGTGTCCCGGACCCGGTGGCTTAAAACTCACGCCGGGCGCGTGTGCGTGCATGCCCAAGATCCCGAGAGGAGAATGGAGGAGAAGGGATTGCGGCGTCACCATCCCCCCTGGGGGGTGATTTCTCGCTTTCTGTCTCTATGTCTCTCTCTGTCTGGCGAGCGCACGCGCCCTACAGTGAAAATCTCTCAAAAAATAAATAAATAAATAAATAAGAGTTGCTCAAATTATTACAGTCATGAGAAGTGTAAACAATTAGTTAAACGCTTTGTAGTAAACTATCTCTCCCAAATGAGACAAGTAACACCTCTTAACTCTAACCTGTTGTTCCCTGCAGCGGATCCTGATTAGGACAGGCAGCGATCTGTAGGCGTCCCTGCTCCTTATTGAAACCAAGCCAACCCCAACCTGAGCCTTGGACACCAACAGACACGGCTGTCAGCTTCTCCTTAAACTTGTCAAAGGAACCAAAGTCACGTTTGATGGCTTCCAGCAACTCCCCTATTAAAAAATAATAAAAAACAACACACACAAATAGAGAGGTCAACAATTACAATAAAGTATGACATCACGTATATTAAAATAGTTCTGCATGGCCCAAGAAGCAACTAGACAACATTGCACGCAAGATGTACCATAACCGGTGACCCTACGTAACACTAGTGGTACTCCTGCCCTTACGCCAGGATGTAAGGTTTCACAACTTTATTCACGTGTTTGTCAACGAAGCCTGTCCTAAGAGGGAGTCTTTTCACTCGCCGTGCTACTGTCATCAGGAAAGAAATACTAAATCCCATTAGCTTTCAGTTTTCTCTCAATGTGAAAACTCACTTTGTCTTCTACCTTACCTACTCTACATAACCACCTGGGAGTAAGAAGTTATGGCTGTTACTCCATTCTTCTCCAAGGCAGCCCTGATCGTCCTATGTGATTAAACTGATTTTAAAACAGTGATTTTATCTCTTCTGTTACTGAACTATAAGCTTCTAGTTGTTTCTCACTCATTATTTATCTAAAGGTTTTATTCTAGTGGTATCTTTTTTATTTAAGAATTATTTTATTTAACTTTCTTTCATTTTTATTTTATTTTAATCACCAGAGAGGGACAGAGTAAGAGAGAGAGGTAAAGTGAGAAAGCAAGCCGCCAGGTCTGAGACTCAAACCACGATCGCCCAGGTGGGAGCCCAGCACCCTCAACCATTACGCCACCTGCTGGCCCATATAGTGGTGTAACTCTTTAAGCTGACACTAATTCTCTACACGATGATGATGATGATGATGACGCAGGGCTTGTGATTAAAATGCTTTTGTTGGGGCCAGCAGGTGGCATGGTGGGTAAGGTGCTGGATTCCCACAGGGCCTACCATGGCTTGAGTCCCAGACCCTGTGGTTTGAAAACCACAACAAATAAATAAATTAATGCTTCAAAATAAATAAATAATGTCTTTAGTAACATAGCTATAAAATTATATGTGCTTATTTTACAAAATGTCAAGGACTTACAAAGCATTTTTACTTACATAAGACTCTGGGTATTATCGTTTAAAAGAGTTGCTCAAAGGGAACCAGCAGTTAGCGTAATGGCTATGTCGCTGGATTCCCACGTAGTCGACCGCGGTTCGTGTCCCGGACCCGGTGGCTTAAAACTCACGCCGGGCGCGTGTGCGTGCATGCCCAAGATCCCGAGAGGAGAATGGAGGAGAAGGGATTGCGGCGTCACCATCCCCCCTGGGGGGTGATTTCTCGCTTTCTGTCTCTATGTCTCTCTCTGTCTGGCGAGCGCACGCGCCCTACAGTGAAAATCTCTCAAAAAATAAATAAATAAATAAATAAGAGTTGCTCAAATTATTACAGTCATGAGAAGTGTAAACAATTAGTTAAACGCTTTGTAGTAAACTATCTCTCCCAAATGAGACAAGTAACACCTCTTAACTCTAACCTGTTGTTCCCTGCAGCGGATCCTGATTAGGACAGGCAGCGATCTGTAGGCGTCCCTGCTCCTTATTGAAACCAAGCCAACCCCAACCTGAGCCTTGGACACCAACAGACACGGCTGTCAGCTTCTCCTTAAACTTGTCAAAGGAACCAAAGTCACGTTTGATGGCTTCCAGCAACTCCCCTATTAAAAAATAATAAAAAACAACACACACAAATAGAGAGGTCAACAATTACAATAAAGTATGACATCACGTATATTAAAATAGTTCTGCATGGCCCAAGAAGCAACTAGACAACATTGCACGCAAGATGTACCATAACCGGTGACCCTACGTAACACTAGTGGTACTCCTGCCCTTACGCCAGGATGTAAGGTTTCACAACTTTATTCACGTGTTTGTCAACGAAGCCTGTCCTAAGAGGGAGTCTTTTCACTCGCCGTGCTACTGTCATCAGGAAAGAAATACTAAATCCCATTAGCTTTCAGTTTTCTCTCAATGTGAAAACTCACTTTGTCTTCTACCTTACCTACTCTACATAACCACCTGGGAGTAAGAAGTTATGGCTGTTACTCCATTCTTCTCCAAGGCAGCCCTGATCGTCCTATGTGATTAAACTGATTTTAAAACAGTGATTTTATCTCTTCTGTTACTGAACTAAGAGTAAACTTTTAAGAGCTATAACCCTTTTATTCCACTGCATACAGAATATAATTTTAGACTGAGCAAATCAACCAAATCGACTGGGTCAAAATCCTCACTTCTCTTTTCTATTGGTTATAAGTAATTATTGCCTGGTGATTAAGCCAACTGGATCTCACATGGCCTACTGCACAGTTCAAGTCCCAGATCCAGGGGTCTGAAAAACATGGTGGGTATGTGTGTGTGCCCAGAGACCCTAGAGGAGAATGGAAAAGAGAATGCAGCATGGCCATACCCACTGGGTGGGACAGTGATCTTTCACTTTCCCTGTCTCTTTCTCTTTCCAGCAAATGCACACACCCTGTGGTAAAAACTTAAAAAAAAAAAAAAGGTCCAAAAAAGGAGGGAGAGATGGAAAAGAGGGTTTGCAATGTGACTGTCCTCCATGGAGGGGAATTTTTTCATTTTCTCTCTCTCCCAGCAAGCACACACTCCCTCTGGTAAACATTAAAATTAAATAAAGAAATTATCTTTTATAAGTACAATGATGGAATAAAGTACTACAGATAATTTTAAAAATGGAAGAAAATACTAAAGCTATTGGTTAAATATGGTTATATCTAATGATCTGGTAACTGACTAAACTTCAATGCATTAAGTCATGGTCTGAGACCTAAATCAGAAAAAACAGACTGCTGGTTTCCCATATTGCAAGGAAAATTAAGGGAACAAAAAAATCAACAATATGGGCAAATGGCACAGAGGTTAAGGCGCTGAATCCCACATGGCTGACTGCATTTCAAGTCCCAGACCAATGGCTTGGAAAATCCCATAGGGCACTTGTGCATCCATGCCCAAAATCCCAAGAGTGGAGGAGAAGGGACTGCAGCGTAGCCATGCGCCCTGGAGAGTGATTTCTCACTTTCCCTCTCAGTGCCTCTGTCTCTCTCTGGTGAGCACACACGCCACGAAGCAAAAACTAAAAGAAAAAATCAACAATCATGTTCTATTGCGCACAAAATGCAGATAAGGCTGTGCTCAGATATACTGACCTTTGGGTTCTCCGCCGCCGTTAGGGCTCAGGTTAGTCCAGAAAATGGTGTGATTGATATGACCTCCGCCGTTGAACTTCAGGGCAGGCTGAAGAGCTACCTGAGCCGTAACATCTCCTGAAATGTCAACACACAAACACCTTTTCAAAATTTCTTATTTCTTTTTTTTTTCCTTTTTTTGGAGAGATTTTTGCTATAGGATGCGTGTGCTCACCAGACAGACAGAGAGAGACAGAGAGACAGAAAGCGAGAAATCACCCCCCAGGGGGGATGGCCATGCTGCAATCCCTTTTTCTCCGTTCTCTCAGGATCTCGGGCACGCACGCACAAGCACCCGGCGTGAGTTTAAGCCACCGGGTCCGGGACTCGAACCGCGGTCAACTACATGGGAGTCCAGCGACATAGCCATTACGCTAACTGCTGGTCCCTCAAAATTTCTTATTTCTTTTGGCCACTCTTTACCTTTTCTTTTCTGTGTAAGACATCAGCTAATTAGACCAACATATAAGGTCGTCAGAAAAGTATGATGCATTTTTCTGTTTTTCTATGCAAAAATGCATCATGACTTTTCCAAAAACCCAGTATATAGCAACCCTACTAATCCTAAAATTTAGTAATTTCAGATTCTATATAAAAAAGAGACCCTTCCAAAATTATTTGTCCCAGTGGATTTTCAATTCAGTGAACAACATGCTGAACAAGCAGTGAGGCATTCAGCAGGGGTGGTAAAACTAGAAAATTCACTCCTGGGGCCAGCAGGTGGCGTAGTGGTTAAGGTGCTAGACTCCCATACAACCAACCATGGGTGGAGTCCCAGATTCAGTGGCTTGAAACCATGCTGAGCACGTGTATATGTGTACCCAAAATCCCAAGAGGAGAAGGGATTGCAGTGTGGCCATCCCTTCTGGGGAGTGACTTCTCACTCTTTCTCAGTCTCTGCATTGAGCGCATGCATACTATAGCAAAAATCACTCTTTAGAAAAGAAAAAGAAGAAAGGAAGAACTGGCCAGCCGGTGGCGTAGTGGTTAAGGTACTGGACTCCCACATAGCCAACTATGCGTTGAGTCCTGGACCCAGCAGTTTGAAACACACCAGGCATGTGTGCAGGCATGCCCAAAATCCCGAGAAAAACAGAGAAGGGATTGCAGCGTGGCCACCCCCAGGCAATTTCTCACTTTTTGCCTGTCTCTCTGATGAGCGCATGCACGCTATAGCAAAAGTCTCTCAAAAAAAAAAAAAAAAAAAAAAAAAAAGAGAGAGAGAGAGTGAGAAAGAAAAATCACTCCTGGCTGCCAAGGAACTCTTGGATAGAAAACATTTCAGCAAATGAAACACCAGAGGGAACAACCAAAGATATGGGATGCTATAAATCACATGCCTCTATACTCAGACTAATGTAAATTCCCAACTCACTTCCCAGATGAACTCCATTCATTAGGAAATAGTTCAAAGTTACATTAAATGATGGGAACCAGCAGTTAGCGTAATGGCTATGTCGCTGGACTCCCACATAGTCGACCGCGGTTCACGTCCAGGACCCGGTGGCTTAGAATTCACACCGGGCACGCGTGTGCGTGTGCGCCCAAGATCCCGAGAGGAGAATGGAGGAGAAGGGATTGCGGCGTGACCATCTCCCCTGGGGGGTGATTTCTCACTTTCTGTCTCTATGTCTCTGTCTGTCTGTCTGTCTGGCGAGCACACGCGCCCTACAGCGAAAACCTCTCCAAAAAAAAAAAAAAGTTACATTAAATGAGAAACTCAACAGACTGAAACCAAACTCTGCCTTCAATTCCACACTCACTCCTGCTATGGCCTGTTCCTGGGACATCCTAGTAACCTGAAGGGTATTGTGACCCTACCACTCACACCCCACATTCACCCAGCAGCAACCCAGGCAGGGGGCCGGCAAGTTGTGCAGTGGTTAAGGCACTGGACTCCCACATGGCCGACTGCGGTTTGACTCCTGGACCTGGTGGCTTGCTTTCTCACTTCCCTCTCTCTCCCACTCGGTCCCTCTCTGGTCAAATTTTAAAAATAAATAAATGGATAAATGAAGTTAAATAAAATAATTCTTTTTTTTTTTTTTTTTGGAGAGGTTTTTTTCACTTAAGGGCAATTTTTTTCACTATAGGGCACGTGCGCTCGCCAGACAGACAGAGAGAGACATAGAGACAGAAAGCGAGAAATCACCCTCCGGGGGGATGGTCACACCGCAATCCCTTCTCTTCCATTCTCCTCTCGGGATCTTGGGCACACACGCACACATGCCCGGCGTGAGTTTTAAGCCACCGGGTCCGGGACGTGAACCGCGGTCGACTATGTGGGAGTCCAGCGACATAGCCATTACGCTAACTGCTGGTTCCCTGATAAAATAATTCTTTAGGAAAAAAATAAATAAAAGTAAACCCAGGCAGAATCCACCCTCTCCTTTCTAACTGTTGACACCCTGTCATGCATGTCCCAGATGGTGAGTGCTGACACCCTGTGCAGACTGCTTGTGGCAGCCCCCTGCGAGGCTTCGCCACTGGGACTGAACCCTAAGTCCTTAAACTCAGTCACAGAGAAACACACCACCATGCTCGCTCCCCAGCTCCAGCCACAGGCCTCCCTGCCCTCACGTGACACATGGGCAGGCTTCCGGCTGACGGACCATGGCTGCTCTCTGTAACCTTCATCCCTGCCACAGCCCAGCCTTCATTGCCTCCTTCCTCCTCCAGCTGTCAACTAAATGTCAACATCAGTACACCTCCCTTAGCCACAAGGTATAAACCTGCAATCACCCCCTCTTCCAGACCCCCAACTCTCCTTGGGCCCTCTCAATAAAACACTTGCTCATCAGCCTTCCTAACAAGTCAGCTCTGGTGAGCAAGCATTTCTGTGCAGACCTGTGTTCCTCGTGGCTAACAAACTGCCCAGCACACAGCAGGTGCTCAGTAAGTATGTGGACTGATTAGATGACTAAGTATCTTTTCTCCCCAAAATCAATTAATTCTCTGATACCAATAGTTTAGGGAAGAAAGAAAGAAAGAAAGAAAGAAAGAAAGAAAGAAAGAAAGAAAGGGAGGGAGGGAGAGAAAGAGAGAGAGAGAGAAAGAGAAAGAGAAAGAGAAAGAGAAAGAGAAAGAAAGAGAAAGAGAAAGAGAAGGCTGGTCCCACAGCCCACTGATTAAGAGAGCTGGATCCCACACGGTCAACTGTGCAGTTCAAATCCTGGCCCCAGGTGGCTTGAAAAAACCCACCTGACGTGTGTGTGTGAGTGTGTGTGTGTGTGTGCGTGTGTGTGTGCGTGTGTGTGTGTGTGTGCGTGTGTGCGTGTGTGTGTGTGTGTGCGTGTGTGTGTGTGTGTGCGTGTGTGTGTCCAAATTCCCAACAGCATAAATAATGGAGGAAAAAACTGCAGTGTTACCAGGCTCTACTTGGGGAGGGGTGCTTTCTGTCTCTCTCTGGCAAGTAGCCTCTAACAAATTTTAAAAAAAGAGAAAATGTCACATTTGAACTGCCTGAATAAACTCTCAAGACACTGGGAGAAGTAGATAGACACCGAAAAGACTTTCTACCTTATTAGACAGGTAGGCAAAATACCTTTTTTTAATTTTGACAGAGGACATGGGCACCTGCTGGGGTGGGGAGGGGGAAGAATAAGGCAACTCCCAACAAGAATGGTCCCATCGCCATCCTTACTCCTCCATTTCTATCACCTGTCAGGATTTGGGGCACACGTGCACACAAGCCCAGCATGGTTTTTAAGCCACCGGATCCAGGACTTGAACCGTGTAGTCGGCCATGTGGGATTCAGCCGCTGAACCAACATGCTAGCCCCAAATACTTTTGTTTTGTTTTTGTGTTTTAAAGAATTATTTTATTTAACTTTATTATTATTTTTTAGTTTGACCAGGGAGAGGCAGAGAGAGGGAAAGTGAAAGAGCAAGCCACCAGGTCCAGGACTCGAACCATGGTTGGCCATGTGGGAATCCAGTGCCTTTAACCACCACACCACCTGCTGGCCCCCAAAATACTGTGGGTTTTTTTTTCATGTTTTCAAGTAACTACAGAATAACTGCACTACTAGGAAAAATGGAAACTCCCCTGTTGAGTAAGTACTGAATGCTTACTAATCACAAGACACCAAGAAAGGAGGGTCCGTTTTTGGAACGTTTTAAGAACACTGTAAGAAATGTGCGTTCTGACACAGCAAGGCCAAATCTCCAGGTGTTCAGCAATTCAGAATGGAGAGGGGGACCAACCAATATCTAAACACACAGATAATCTCTCAGGGCTTTTTTAGTTTGCTATAGGGTGTGAGTGTTCAGAAAAGAGACAGTTAGACAGCGAGAAAGAGAGGGAAGGTGGGAAATCACTGCCCAAAGTGAGATGGTCACATCACAATCCCTTCTCCATTCTCCTCTGCGGATTTTTTCAGGTACACAGCCCAGTGTGTTCTTCAAGCCACCAGGTCCAGGACTCGAACTGCACAGTCGGCCGTTTGGGCTCTGCCTTAACCTCCATGACACTGGCTGGCCCCTAGATATCAACTCTTTTACTCCTTTCTTTTCCCCCACTATGTTTACAAAATAATTTTATTCCTTTCTTTTTCCATGTTTACAAAATAATTTTCTTACAGATCAGTGATTCCCTTATTAATTTTTCTTAGTCATTCTAAAAATGTAATTTTTTTTTTTTGGAGAGATTTTTTTCGCTATAGGGTGCGTGCGCTCACCAGACAGACAGAGAGAGAGACAGAGAGACAGAAAGCGAGAAATCACCCCCCAGGGGGATGGTCACGCCGCAATCCCTTCTCCTCCATTCTCCTCTAGGGATCTTGGGCACGCACGCACACGCGCCCGGCGTGAGTCTTAAGCACCGGGTCCAGGACGCGAACCACGGTCGACTACGTGGGAGTCCAGTGACATAGCCATTACGCTAACTGCTGGTTCCCGTGATTTTATTTTTTTAATAAATCAATAGTAACTAAGTTTTTTGAATAGAAAAAAACAAGCTTACTGAGAGATAATCTAATTACCTCGACCTCTCTTTATGTGAGAGAGAGGAGAGAGAGAGAAAGCACCCCTGCGGGGCGTGGTCAGGCCACACGACTTTTCTCTCCATTCCTCATCCTATCAGGATCTGGGCATGCGTGCGCTTGCGCCCGGCGTGCTTTTCAAGCTGCAGGGGCCAGGATTTGAACCAAAGGCAGCCACGTAGGTTCCAGTGTGCTATGCCAAGCACTTAACTGCTGTACTATGTGCCCAGTCACAATCTGACATCTCAAAGTTTGCTGAAATTTTTTAGTGTTTTGTTTTGTTTCGTTTTGCTATAGGATGCATGCACTCAGCAGAGAGGGACAGAAAGATAAGGTGTAAAACAATCACTCACCTGGCACCTGGGAATGGCCACACCATAAACCCCCTCTCCCATTCTCCTCTCAGGATTTTGGGCACATCTGGAACTTGAACCGCACAGCTGGCCGTGTGAGATCAAGTGCCTAATCTCCACACCACCTGCTGGCTCCATTGCTGAATATTTTTATTACATCTTAATTAAAATTTTGGTACATAATTTTTGGTTTCAATTTATTTTTTTCCTCAAATATAACAAATCAAGTACTTTTAGTTGAAAAGTATTCATATTAGTTGTTTAAGTGAGATGAGATTATGATGCTACTTTACTTACCATCTTCTCAAGTTTCCAAAGTTGACCATTTTAACTTTTCAATAATTTTTAAAATATAATATTTTCAGGCCTGCACCCCAGCCTGGTGGTTAAGAGAGCTGGATCCCACATAGCTGACAGCAGTTCAAATCTCTGTGCTGGCAGCTTAAAAAACATGCCACATGTGTGGGCGTGCATGTGTGCCCAAAATCCCAACAGGATAGTGAAAAGGAGGGGAAGGGATTTTGCAACGACCATGCCCCGTTGGCAAGAGTGCTTTCTCCCCCTCTGTCTCTTGCTGGAAAATGCACACACCCTTTGGCAAAAAAAAAAAATGTTGAGAAAGATTCCCGATGTCAGACGTGGCCTTGCAGGAAATACTTTCACAACTGGGATATTCCCCATCCCTCACCATTACTGCATCCTTCACACACTTATTTCCTAAATCACAGACCTTTCCCGTACTCGAGGTTCACTCAAAGTTCCTCCGATTATCGTAAGCAAATCTTCCAGAATGTGGTAACTTCCTCCTCTTTTTGTTCAGCCCTGTACCTCAAACACAAACAAGCTGAAATACCGCATTTTCCCACTAGATGCCCCCAGTCAACAAGATGTCACTGTCTTGAAAAATAACAAAGTTCAGAAATCTGAAACTCAATCAAAATACATTGAAGAAAAAGGAATTTTTTGGCCTGATCCCGCAACCTAGTGGTTAAGGGAGCCAGATCCCACACAGCAGTTGACTACGGTTTGACACCCAGCCCGAGTCTGAAACACCCCAGACCTGAACACACGTGGCCCACGGCATCTAGGAGATGGCACTGCAGCGTGAAAACACCTACTGGAGCATGTGCTCCCTCTGCCTCTCTGTCTGTCTGTCTGTTTCTCTCTCTGGCAAGCCCGTGCATCCTCCAGCAATTAACATTTTCTAAAAGAAAAGTCTTTTTTTCACCCTTTTTTATTGTACAGCTTACCAAGCAATACAGATACTCTGCAAACAGGACTGTCCATTGCTTTCCTGTGTCAGCCCCTGACTGACTAGTAGATTAGGACAACACTCCTCCAGACAGACACCAAAACCGTATTCCCGGGCACAGCTTCAGAGGCACGAACTCAGGTCTACAAACTACCAATTAACCAAAGTTTGGTCAATTGAGCTTTTTTACCAAAAACTAAGTCCATGTTATAGTTTAGCTGAATTATAAAAATTAGTAAACACATACAAGCCTACTTCAGTGCTCCCACAAAATGGCTCTTTTCCTTGTGAACTTTGACCCCTAAGTTAAATCCAGAGAAGTATTGAGTCTGGAGGGCCTGACCTATTCCACAGTTAGGTAACTGCTTTTCCATCACCAGCGTCACAATGCTAACTCCTGTCTCTTCCCGTGGGCTAAGGGAAGCTTCAAGGCATGGGAGCAGCTCCAGACAGGAGGCACCCCCAAGTCCTGGGCTGCGATCCTGATGCCATCTGTTCCCAGACCATGACAAAGACTAGTTTCTATGGTGAGGCAGTGTCCTCAGGTCTCTCACCCAGAGTGCGGGCTGGATAACTAGACTGCCCTGACAGGTGATGGCAGCGGGGCTGTCCACCTCTCACTTGCTGTCCAGACCTTTGCGCTGTTTGCTGACAGCAAAGCCCCACTGCTGCTTCCATCAGGGGGTTGCACTGACGCTCTGGGCACCTGAGTGCGCCACATTGTCTGGGCCACAGGTGGACAGCGCTCTGAGCCCTCCTGCAAAGGCTGGCAGACCTACCTGGGAGCACATTATGTAACAAGGACAGAGTTGGAGCTTTCTTAACGGCTCTACAACTCACAAACGCTAGCAATCTGGGCAACAAAAACAGGACTTGGGAAAATTTACAGACAAGTTCCTTCCAGGGATCCTAAGTTTTCTGAGATAAAAGAAAGTGACACGAACTACTGAGGATATTCACTCTACAAAGCATGAAGCGGTTCCCTTCCGCGGACAGGCACCTGCGCCGAGCCCCCGCCCACGGTCACCCAGGCTCTTTGTCACCCCTGCCCGCAGACGCTTTCCCACCTCCCCGGCCAGCACCTACCCTTGGCCAGGGCCTCCTGGTACTTCTCCTCAGTGGCGTTCAGGTTGTTCACGTAGGTCGCATGGTGCTTGCTGTGGTGCAGCTGCATGATCTGGGCGTTGATGTGCGGCTCCAGGGCGCCGTAGTCGTAAGGCAAGTCAGGGAGGCTGTGCTTCTGCCTGGAGCCCAGACACCACCACGCCGGCGCCAGCTGCTTTCCGGCCCTGGAAGACACGGAACGCACGGACCGAGTCAGCAAGGGACGAGCCGGGGCAGCA